CCACCTTTCAACTTGAATTCTACAAATAATATACCCATCTATTTCACCATAAGTAGATCAAATATATTAAATATGTGTACTTTTACTAATGACTTTATCACCCAAAGTCACAATCCCCCAACTAGGTCTATTAATACTAAAAATACACTCCAAATATTAAATTTTAGAGCTATTTATGCAAAAGCCTTCAGAATCTAAGGTTGACTAACATAATTCAAGTTTACCTTCAACTCTCTCTTTATTATTATCAATTACAAGAACAATATCATCAGCAAAAAGCATACACCAAAGTACAATATTCTCTTGCAAATATCTAGTGAGAATATCCATAAGTAAAGCCAAGAGCAAACACCAATATACATTTTCTTGTAAATGTCTAATGAGAACATCTATAACAAAAAAAAAGTAAAAGCATACACACAAATACATTCTCTTACAAATGTCTAGAGAGAACATCCATTACGAAAGAAAAACCATACACTAAGATTCATTCTCTTGAAAATGTCTAGTGAGAACATTCATACGAAAAAACAAAAGGCATACACCAAGATACCTTTACTTACAAATGTCTAGTGAGAACATCCAAACACTATGTAATGAGATAATAACTTATCTTACTGATGGCGTTCGGGGTAGCTTTTGGCGAAGTCGGTGAGGGTTTAGTAGACGTAGCTCTCGGATGTCATGAAAGAAATGCTCTCCAGTTCGGTTGAGGTAGCTCTCGAACGCGAGCGAAGAGAGGGAAATAAATGCTCGACGTCGGGGCAGCTCTCAACAACGAGTGAAGAGGGTTCATCAGGGCAGCTCTCGAATGCGAGAGAGGGAAAGAAAGCGAACATGGTTCGACCAGGACAAAAATAAGAAGTCAAACGGCGGACGGGTCAAAATGGTACATGTACCAGTGTCTTTCTGGCAGATTATTTGTCGGTTATATTACCGACAGATAATGCGCCGGCAACGTTTCGTCGAGTTTAAGTAAGTTGGCGCAATATTCATCGACAATTTCACTGGTAATTACTGGCAGAAATATGCACCGAAAACCTTTAAAATACCAACAAAAGTCCAGCGGAATATGTGCTTGTGTTTCAGCGACAAAAATTGCGCTAGTCATTTCGCCGTTAAGTTACCGGCGGGTATTCTGCAGGTAAACCCGCTAGTTTTACCAACGTAAATATTTTCGTCGGAACGTCCAACGGTAATGACAAATTTTCCTGTAGTATGACACTAAGCTCTCTGGTTGGTCGGCATTGTGGTGGCGCTGTCTAGAGCGCTGTGGCACAAGATCAAATTTTAATTAAAAAAAAAATCAAAATTCACTATTTTCTCATTTTAATAAATTCCCCCCTTAGGTGGTTGCAATTAAGAGAGGGAGAGAAAGCTAGTCCAGGGCAATTTCGATTCGTTTTCTGATGTAGGCCCAATTATAAAAGATATCTGAATCGAGGTAAGTTACATTATGCCTATTTCAATTTTCAAAAATACAAAATTTTTAAGATTTTTTATTTATTTAAAATATAATTTTATAGCGTAAAAACGAGGATAACTTTGTATCCGCTAAATTTTCATAATGTAACTTTAGAATGTTATAGATATGATTGTTTTAGATATTTAGGTATTTTGAAGAAAAATTTTTGTTAGGTTCTTTGAAAAAGTGTGTTATTTTTAGGAAATTAAAAAATAATTGTATTCCAAAAAAAATAATATTATAGTACAATTAAAATTTCACAATATTTTTATGAACAATCCTTTATAATCTAGTGAAAATATAAAATTCTACTTAGTTGTTAAATTTGTTGTCTACTTGCAAAGCATTATGTGAAATTTGAAATTAGTTTATTTACATTTATTTTATTGCAATGTAATTATATCTACACTTGTCTACTTGAACTGTGTGATTCTATGGAGATTTGATTGATAGAGAAAGTTTTGTTGTGTTGAATGCATTGAGAGTTATAAGGGTTCAAAATTTTAAATATCTCATATGTGTTAAGCTTTGCTAGTCATAACTTTTAAAGAATTTTGATCTCTCTTTTTGATGGAAGGTACAAAGGCTTGAGAGAAAAATATTATTTTCTAGTATGATATATGATTTACTTGTTTATTTACATTTAATGCAAAGTTTGTTATATTTTACTTATATGCAAGTAATATTTTGCTCAGTAAAATAACGTTTTTTATTAACAATTTTTAATTAGTTAAATGTATAATAAGTTAATTTGAAAATTATAATCAATGGATGTAACCCAGGGGCGGATCCAGCTTCTTTTTTCAGGGTGGGCAAAAAATTTTTTTTTTTGTAGGGATGGAAAAAAATGCATAGGATTGATAAAATTAGGACAAAAAAATTTTTTAGGAGGGACAAAATGCCTAAAATACTCAAAATATTCCAAAAAATCTCCTATGAATATTTTTTTAAAAAAATTTGAGGGTGGGCATTTGCCCACCCTAAGACTAGGGTGGATCCGCCCATGATGTAACCTATTGAGTTGTATTGGCTCACACCTATTCTGCATTATGTTTCAGGTTAGGAAACGATAAAGAACTAGTTGAGTATTTGAGATTGTAGGTTTTGATATGCTTAAGTAGGTATAAGTACTTTTTGGTTTATAGATTTTTGTACAATTATAGCTATTTATTTCTTTGCTCTGTTTTGATCTTTAGTCATATATTGTTGTATATAGATTTTGTTGTATATACATTTAAAGATGAATGAAAGAAAAACTTTGTGGATGTTTACTTTTTGTTCAGTTTAAAGTTAATTAGTGGCTTTGTAGTCTATTTTAAATTAATAAAATATGAAAAAGCCTCCAAAACTTATATATTAGGCTTGATCTGTCATCATCCAACATGATATGTCATGTCTTATCTATAGGTCATATTGAGTTGAGTTGTGACCCTAATATCCTAGAGGTTGTGCTTCATTGGGTGTAAAGATGATGGATTTAGAGATATAATCACAATAAAAATATTTATTCTCTAACATTGGTTCTACTTTAGAAAGTATATATTTAAATTAAAAGGTCGAATTTCAATCAGCTCAGAAGTTAGTTTGAAATTGATCATTCAACTCAATTCAAAACTTACTAATGGGAATGAAAGTTTGGCTAACTCAAATTTAACTTGATATCACAATCATTCATGTCTTAGTAATGATAAACTTTCAATTTTGTAGATATTACAATATATAGACATAAATAAAATTTAAATATTCAAATTTTAAATGCTTTCTTTTTTACATTTAAAATTGAAACTTTTAGAATTTCAATTCAATATGGAAACTTATCTTTAAAAGTAATTGTAAAAATACTTTAATTTTAAATAAGACTAATTCTAAATAATTGATTTCTTACTTTGAAATTTTAAACTCATCATATCCCTTTCTTGTGATTTCAAAACTAAAACTTGAATTAAAAATTGAAAATAAATATAATTTAAACATAAGGGAGTTTTTTTCAAAATGGAGTTCTCTTTTATCATAATTGTAATATATAAAGCAAATTGCTTTATGCATTTAAGCTCATAAATTTATGAATATAAATAGGTCAGGATGTAAGTAACTTAGTGAGAGAAAGATAGAGAAGGAGATGAGAAAATAACATTTTGAAGTAAATAAAGGGTATTTTCATAATTGCTTTGAGATGAGAGAGATAAGAGTGGCCTGTGAGTTTAGGTGCTTTTTCTTAATGATTAATGTGAGGGTTGCTCACAAGGCATGATGAAATTCAAATTATACTCCTATAGATATATCACATAATATTAATCAAATCAATCTTATCCCTAAAGAAAGTTTGCATTACTTAGGGATGGGAGTATGTCTTAGAGTAAACTTATTAATTTCTGAACATTTAATTGATTTGATCTAGAGAAAATTGTCTATCACTTCACCACTTCATTCTCCATGGACCAACTCTCTCAAACTCACCAATATGAGTAGCCTCACCACTTCCACCTAGAATCATCTGATCATCCTAACTAGAATTCTCTTTATGCTCTCAATAATTCCTTCGTTTTGATTATAGCCTGCCCAATAATCACCATCACCTGGTTTAGCCATTCAAATGGTGTCATATAGGTATTCCCCATATATATAAACAATCACCATAAAGAATAATTATTTCAAAATTCATTCATATTCTAAATTACCGTTGAAAAAGATGAACCACACAATTCTCTTTGATTTATTGGTTGAAAGCTTTGACTATCAACTAAGAGATTTTGGACTGAAGTTGTGCATATGTGAATTTATCTTATTTGACTTAAATGCCTAAAAATAAATAAATAAATAAAGAGATGATCTTTTATGGCTTGTATATCTTCCCCCTTTCATGATTGGCCAAGAATTAACAATAAAAAGATTCAAGTCCTAATAAATGTTACATGAATCCAACTTTACAAGTATACCGAACAACCCCCCCATCAAAAGTATCAAAACAACCCTCGGATCAATGATTACTAAGCTCAATCTTATTAGGCTAACACCATTTGAAACAATTTTCTTACTGCTTTCTAAAACAACTTTTTCATACAATTTTTTTTTTTTAACTAACAGTGATCAAAGCTGCCCCAAACAAAACCTTCATCTCAAATTAAATAGCAAATTCATATTGGTACAACAAAAAGGGAAGCAAATGCAAGTTCACATGAACCACAACCCAAATAATCATTCACTTGCCATGCATCAAAGCGCACACATTCCAATCACCCTTGAAAAGTCTTGTTCATCCTATGCATGGTCATTGAACTCACGAAGCAATAGCATACAATCATATTTTAATTTGTCACTTATCAATAATTTATAAGATAGATCATAGCAAACTCTTTAAATAGGAGAACCCATATAAATTAGGAAGCCCTTTCAAGTCATTCTCATAGGCAACTTATAGCTCTTTTTACATATAAAATTTTAAATATGATTTCTCACTGTTTCACTCAACCAAATTGTCAACTTTCTTCCTGCAAGTTATTGATCCAATCCACATTAGATATATAAACGAATGATATAGATGAAGAAAAACAGAACATTCAAACTCACAGCACTACAAATAGAAAACCCAATTTCCATTACATAAATACACTACAAATACAGTGAATGCAAAGCAAAAATCACAATACTTGAGACTAAAGTTTCGTTTGAGATGACTTTCTTACTGCTTCTTAAGGAAGCTTTCTAGTATAAAAATTTTAAAATTCTATTAAAAAGTTACTTTAAGAAGTAGTAAAAATGCTGTCCCAAACGAAACTTAAAATACACTAGCAAATTGCTCTTGAAAATCTTCAAGAATTTTTTCGCTAAATTTGGAACTTAGAACAACCTGCAACTTAAAAAGAGTTCTAGTATTGGATTTTGGTTTCCTGTACTAACATTTCAGGCAAGATTGATAAAAAGACATTTTCAGAAAGAAATGAACTACTACTCCTCAGGCTCCTCTTCTTCCTGCAGGAGATTCTCTCTATTATCATGAGCCCAGAATCCTCTAACATCAATAAGCATGCTTGCAACAGTGCCACCTTGCTTGCAGGAAAGGAGATCAGCAAGAGTTATCCTAAGGGGGTCAGCTGGTTTGACCATGTCCCAGATTTCATCCCTTACATCTTCAATACATAGTTCATAGTTTCCACCGTCCATCCATTTCTGATGAACATCCCTAAAGCATGGAATGAAGAGAAAATTAGCTTACAATGATGCACTTCTCTGTAGATATGAAGGAAAGGTTAGCTACCAAAGCCACAATTAAGAATAAATTTAGAATTTGTTTGGGGTGGGGTTGCAGCTCTATCATTAGATTTTTTTTTTATTTAAATTGTTAGAGGCATTAAAATTTTTTTCCTTTTAAGGAACCAGGAAAACCTTCTTACATTTACCACACTATAGAAGATTTCATTATAAAAAGCTGTTTCTATCATAAAAATTTCTAAAAAATCAGCAAAAAAAATTATAGCTAAACAAGATTGTGGTAGCAGTCTGAAAAACAAATTCAAGGTAAAGCTGAAAAAATGTACTCTTTAAAAAATAAAAGCAAGATTTTTGAAAGCCACATATTAAATAAGATCAGCTTAGACCCCTTTTTGAAGCTAATTCTCAAAAAGTTTATCTTTGTTATCAGGTTATCTTTGATTGCGTATTTTGATTTCAACTTTATCATATTATAGTTCTTTATAACTATTCATGTTGTACTAATTTTATTGACTAATTATAAAAATATTTTTGCTTTAAAAATCTCTATGGAGCTACTCTTCATCCTTAGATAGATACTCTTCTCTTTATTGTCATGCTATCATTTGTTTTGCAGTTTGCTTTATATATTTTCTATGTAATTATCTTTTGGGACTCTTTTCAAAAAGAACTCCAAAATTTATTTTGAAAAAAAAAATGATTGTTGAAAGATAGTGAAAAGAATCAGAAAAAAGTATTTCTACCTTCGTTAAGATTTACAAGACTTAAAAACAAGACGCAATAAATTACCTAACAACTTTGGCATTCTTAAATTATGAGTTCATCAAGCCACTCCTCATTCCTCTGAAGGATACTTTCTCCTTTACCATCATGTAATCTTGGGTTATGGATTTTGGATTATGCTTTATCTAATTGCAGTCCTTCAAAATTGCATCAAATTGTACTCATTTCATTGATTGATTATAGAATTTGCTTTTACAGGAAAACATAATTATTGAAAGGAAGAAGTATAATGAAGATCAAAATGTTTTACTTATCTCTATTTACAGTATAAGCCTGATGGTTGAATGTTTTACATATCTCTATTAATTATGATGTTGTGAATTTTGCTTTAGTTAAGGTTAATGTAATCATGGATAAAGAAGTGGATGATGATCTAGCAATTGACCATCTGATCTTTGGAAAAGTGGATTCCAAGGATCTAAGGAATGATGAAAATGTCAATGGAGCGTCACCTACCTCATTTGGAGGTTAATTTTGCCAGTGAGTCTATAGTGTCACATCTTCCTATCAGTGTTCGTCGCCCCTATGCCTACTGAGTCAGCTGACAAGGATGGATTTACTTAAACTTAACAAAAAAAGAATCACTAAATGCTTTAGAAGGGACCTTGGCTCCATGATGCATTCTTTGGTTGGGTGCTTCCTTTCATCTATGGATCATATGGGTAGTTTTGGTGCACAAAAGATGAAATCAAGTTCTACTGCTCTCAATTTCTTGTGCTTGTTCAGAGCTTTAGAGTCTTCAAGTGTTTAATGTATTTTTCAAGCCACTCTTTAATTTTATCAACTAACATATGCAAAAAAATGTATATCTGCTCTTAATTTTATCTTTTGAATTAAGAGCAATTTGATCACCGTGAAATATGTAGACAACTAAAAATAAGCTGCTTCAGACTATGTAAGGAGCAAATCTTTTGTATGTTTCATTTTTTTAAATGGAATTTTCAATATATAGGCATTTCAGGCACTCATTGCTGAATCCATTTGAGAAATGTTATTATTTTTGCAGGGCATTAGAGAAATTAGTTTAAAAATAATGGTCTGAGATGCACGACCGTGAATTACCTTGGTCAGTTAATTAGTTCATTCATTCATCAAGTAAGAATAGTAGAACACTGCAAATAAACATCCATAAAATTAGGGGCTTATAGAAGACCGAAAGAATTATGAGTTCCATTCAGATCTCTTGTCTTGTAACCTGAAACTTGCAGAGCTTACTTAAATTACTGCAAGTAGGAAATTACAAATTTAATGTTGGAAGATTATATCGGGCTTTCCCTTGCTTCTGGATATTCCCCTTCTTCTCTTCCATTTTATATGACCCATAAACCAAACCAACAAAAAAAGCGGCATGCACTAAGACTAAAAAGGAACTGGAATTAGCAATATGTCTAACACGTCATCTCAAAATTTACCCAAATTTTAGATACATCACAGCATAATTTTGGAAAGCAATTTCAAGCATCTTCAACTGTTAACAATAAAACCCTTTCAACAGATGTTTCTAACAAAAATAAATAATAGTTAAACAGAAGGAAATGAGGAATAACCTTCTTGTTAATCAGATATAAAAAGAGCTAAATGCCAAAGGATAAAAAAAGGTGTTAGCTTGTCATTATACAGTACGAGAAATTTGTTTTTCTTTTTGGCTCATGTATACAGGTCAACAGTCAGATTAATAATAGTTTTACATTCATCAAAGTAAGAATAGTAGAACACTGCAAATAACTCCATAAAAATTAGGGGCTTATAGAAGACCGAAAGATTAATGAGTTCATTCAGATCTCTTCGTCTTGTAACCTGAAACTTGCAGAGCTTACTTAAATTACTCGCAAGTAGGAAACTTACAAATTTAAATGTTGGAAGATATATCGGGCGTTTCCTCTTCGATTCCTTTCTCTTCCATTTTAATATGACCCATAAACCAAACCAACAAAAAAAAGCGGATGCACTAAGACTACAAAGAAGAACTGAAATTAGCAATATGTCTAAACACGTTCATCTAAAATTTACCCCAAATTTTAGATACATCACAGCATAATTTTGGAAAAGCCAATTTCCAAGCATTCTCAACTGTTAACAAATAAAAACCCTTTTCAAACAGATGTTCTACACAAAATAAATAATAGTTAAACGAAGGAAATGAGGAAATAACCTTCTTGTTAATCAGATATAAAAAGAGCTAAATGCCAAAGGATAAAAAAGGAAGAAAAAAAAAAAAAATATATATACTATATATATTATTATATATATATATAGAGAGAGAGAGAGAGGAGAGAGAGAGAGAGA